CCATGAGCAGTATAGCAAAACATCATCCAGCACTGAAGGGTTTTGAAAGAAAATTCTCTTTTGCCCATGAGCAAATTTAAACTGTCTCCCCCTGGACTGTTGCACTGTATCAAAAGTATTTCCTGTGAGAACTGCTAGTAGCAATTAGCAGAAGCAAATTATTTTGATTTTTTTTCCATTTTATTGTGGTCTAAATTGAAGATTATCAAAAGCTAAAGTTCAAAGTGAATCTGATCTATTTATCTGTATAGTCTGTGGAGCAGGGATACAGAGGGCTTCAGAAAAAAGACAGAAGACTGGCAACTGATCACATTTAACAAATAGGTTCTGATTTTTATAATTGAGATGCCAGGTTTTCTTGGGGGAAAGAGGGAGCATGCAAAAAAAAGTAGAATTCTTGTGCCATATTCCTCTCCAAAGTATTTAGTCCTCAGGAATGTCTGTAGTATTTGAAATATTTTGAATATTCAGATTAATCAGGATTCAAGAATCCAGAAGATTTCAAAATGTTACCATTAAAACCTTTGAGGTCATAAGAGCCTGGTTGCTTATCAGTTTGTTGGAAAACTTAGGACATGCAGCAGAATTTCTATTAATTGTGAATGTAAGTCCTGAATAAGACAAAAGATGTTTTTAAATCCTAGTCTTCCCATTTGGCTTTGCTGTAGAATTTTTACATGAAAAAAAAAACAAAAATAGGAGAAAGAATGCATTTATGGGGTATGGTTCTTTAGAAGAAGCTAAGTTGTTGAGCAGATCCTAAGTCATATTGATTAGAGGAATTTATTATGCAGTTGAAGGAAAAAGGAGGAAACTTATTTTAAATAAGCAGTTCCTGTTGGTACTTGAATCTTATTCTTGAGTATTATTCTTAAGCAGCTAGAACCTATGGGAGGAAAAATATTTAGTAAATCACAAGTAGCAAAACTAATCAACACAATTTAAATCTAAAAAATTATATCCTGCAGACCTTTGAGACCCACATTGATTCTGAATGCAGAAGAATTATGGGAGTAAGAGTATTTTCTAAGATAAATTGAAATTACTCTATCCTGTGTATTCTATTCTGAAGTACAGCCTTGAATCAGAGCTGGACTCGAAGAGAAAAAGGAAGGGATCTACATTAGTTATGTGAAGGGGTTGTTTGAATATGTGCATCATTCAGCTCCAGAAAGGAGTTGCATCGAGGTCACAAAAGGATTGTTACTGAAAATTTCTGTGCATGAAGATGGACAAGAACGCCCCTTAATAACATCATGTCTTGGTTACAGAGGTCCAATTGGCTTACTTCATGTTGAACTTATATTACTTTGTGTTGCAAACCATGATATTTCCTTTTTGAACTCTCATATCAAATGCTGTGTTTATTTTTTAAAAGTCAGTATTAATTTAGTAATTGTATTGTTATAGTGGTTATATTTAATGGCTATCCTCAGCACTTAACAATGAAAAAATTGTTCTTTAACTCACTGTGGTAACTGGGTATATGAGTGAACACATTCTCATGCACATGTTTTATAAATCATTCTTACTTATGTCTGAAATAAAATTTAAAACCAAAACAAAACAAATAGATCAGAAACTAATGTTGCAATTTAAACCTATTTGAATTTTCTAACGCCCTTCAATTTTTCATAGCTTTTAAAGGTATGATTTTTATATATATTTTAATCTTACTGAATATATCTGCATAATAATAAGAATAATAAAATTAAATTAAACCTGATTTAAAAAAAAATAAGTTTTTAAAGATGTGGTGGGGAATAGTTGTCGTTTCTGTCTTTCTTGAAGGTCTAGAGTTATATTATAAGAAATCCATTTTTCATTGTCATGTCTTCTTTGATTGTCCCACTTCGTTTTTTACCTTGATCTTGTTGGTCTATTCTTGTCAAGTGCCCTACTTCTGAGAAATTTCAGTCCTCTACATTTTTTCCCTTCTACAGTCAGCCTTCCACATCGAGGAAGAGGCACTCCATGCTGGCTTACTCTGGGGTTCCTTTGAACTTCCTTTATTCTGAAAAAGATCTCATTGCCACCAGTAAAAGGTTACTTATGTACATACCAAATGAAGCCAGGGGAGTTTTTTGTTGCTAGGAAATAGTGTTATAGAATTTTTTGGGGACTATGGAAAATGTGCTTACCCATCAATATTATATCAATGCACTCATCCAACCAGTAGTCCTAACTCAGTCCACTCTATAAAGTGGGGAATAGCCTCCATTTCTACTGAAATTATCTTTCTCTATCACATGCAATATAGATGTAGTAGTAGCCTCTCTGTAAGTGTTCAAGTCTAGATTGACAGAGAAATTTAGGTCTTTAAGTGCCATTGAAATGCCTCCTGAGTATCTTTCAGGACCTAGTACTCCTTTCTTATTAGACACACTGCAACAGAACAAAAATATCCTAAAGGAGATGCAGATTGTTTATGATTGCATTTACGAGACTTAGCTGGTTTGGTGAGCATGGATAAGTGTGTTGAGAAAAGGTCTAATGGATAAACTGAGTGCCTTGTTAACTGATCTTAAAAAAGAAATAGGTTTTGTAGTGAGCTTGACTTAATTTTGTTTCTGTTCTCCCCAAACCAGAGAGTCTGCTTCATTGTCCAGTGAGTAAAAACTTCCCTTAGGCTTAAATGATGGGAGAACTTGCAAGAAAAGAAACTGTCCTTTAGGTTAAGAAAGTGGAAAAACAACTGATCTGCATGGCCTCAGCTTATATTAGTCATCAGCATATTATGAATAAACAGATAAAATATCGTTGTTTTGTTAATATTACTGTCTCTTTAGCTTTAGGTAGGGTTTTTTGTTTGATTTTATTGTTTATATTACCTCAGCTGCTCTTTATCAATTTTTTTCTTGGACCCTGCACTGAATATGATTCAAATTTTCTGTTTAGGAATCTGTATTCATAGAAGTACAGAACTGACTTTTTGTTGGTGCTGATATGAATTATGAGAGCTGGGAATGTACTTAAGGTAACTTAATGTCTGTGAGTGACTCCAAGCCACCACAGTACATTATTTAAAATGATTTGATAAACTACTGATAGAGAGCATTTTCAATATTTTATCTTTTCCTTCTAGTTTATCCAAGTAACCAATTGTATATGGCAGGCATCTGAGGTGCAACAGAGAAATTAGAACATTAGTATGTGTCAGCTGGTGCTTTATTAGATATTTCTATGAAGGGGAATAGCAGTTTCCCACAATTAATCTGTTACAAGAACGGTAAAAAGTTGACTTTCCAGGAAAGTAATAAGGAATTGAGCCAGTAAAAGCTGTTCTTAAATGTTTTTGCTTTGTTTTACTGATTGCCCCAAATAAGCAGCAAGGCTCCTAAATGTTCATCTTTGTAGTTGGAGATACTAACCCAAATCTGAATTACTGTTTTCTTTACCGCTGATCTTACAGAGATATAGATGATGATTAACCTTAGGTCGATTCATGTGAATCCTTTTGGGATTATAGCTGGTGGGTTGCTATAATGCCTCTCACCTGTTTCAGAAAGCAGTAACAAGATACTGCTGGAGAGCATGGCTGTAGTCAGCAGGTGCTTCATACAGACTGGCAGCATTTCTGAGCAACAGTGATGCAGTAAGGATTATCGAACACACGAGATTTACTAGGTATATTCCTTGCAGAATGGAGTTGTCTTTATTGGTCTGTCTTTACATTAAAAAAAGATTACAGCATCTGTTTCAGAAAGTCAAATATATATGAAGCCACATTAGTTATTTATATGTGGGACTTTAAAGGCAGTGTTGCAAATTGTGCAGAGCAGTTGCTGACTCTTGGGCTGCCATTTATTTGAAACATATATTGGAGCACAACCGATCACTTAACTTCTGTTCATGGTAGCATTCCTCCTGTAAGCTGGGGGCTTACTCCTTTTTCTACAGTATTATAATGATGCTTGTAAAAGACACATTCTTTTTATGCCTATCCGACTGAAAAGGTTTTGTAAAAATAATAATTAAAGCAAAAACCAGAATGACACAGAAAGGGACTGTAGCTGAAGAAAATGAAAAAGAAGAATGATGGCACTTTTTCACTGTCACTCCTAACGTTGTCAAACTGAGCTGCTGCTTTCTACTAGAGGTTGTCCCAACCCATCTGACCTGTACAATTTTCTAATAGCCAGGGAATTTGGACAGAGGCTTTGTGTGAATCCTTATCCTCTGTGTACAAGTAATAAGAGCTTTTCTCCTAAACTCACTTTACTGGATAATTCTATTATCCATCAACATGGAACAATGGAACTGCACTTGCCAGAATTTACATCTTGGCTAATTATTTCTGCTTTTATTTAAATTAGTTTTTAAGCTTCTGCTTTATTCTGGCAACAGGCCCAAGTCTTTGGTAACTGAACACAAGTCTTCACATATCCTTAATTAGCAGCTCTTCCTCTTTTTAAATTTTACTTCCCTTTTTTTCTGTCTGTCTTCCCATTCTTAGGGGTTTTTTTAAACTAATTCTACTATGTCCTTTCAGCATCAATTTCCTATATTTTCTTCCTTTCTTTTTTCCTGTTTACTGGGTTTCTGGTCCTAACATGTGTCTTCTACTAGTGCGAGAAGGTTTCTACTAACTGTGTGTTTCCGTGACTGACATTTTGTGCCATATCCTTATGCAATCGGATCTAGAGCCTGATCAAAATGTTTTAGCTCATGGCACTGAGTTCACTCAAGGTCTCACATCACAGACAAATTACACATGCCTTCTAACCAATTTGGATAAACAAACACTCTGAGGAGAATCTGAGATATCTTTTTCATGGGATTTAATTTCTTCGACCTTCCAGAACCTCAGGCGATTGGATGCATAACTATTCTCCACTTTACTAAAGATAAATCTCTCTCTTTTCAAATATATGTACATACATGCGCACTTATTTATTTATAGCTAAATAAGGTCATAAAAAAACCAAAAAAATCTAGGATGTTTTAACTATTTCATTGACTTTTCAGATTGTTTTTAAGCTGTTTTTTAAACTTTAAAGGCAACACTGATAGTGAACGGTTCCAAATGGTAAAACAGAAAATCCCCTTCAAATATAACCGGCCTGTAGAGGAGTGGCTGCAGGAAAAAGGTAACAGTCATTAAAACTTTCATTTTAAACTCATTTGATTCTAAACTCTCATTTTTAAAGCCTGCAAATAAATGTTTCTTAAATGATAATCGCCTGCTGCATAAATGACTGTTTTAATTTTCATTATAATTTGTGTCAGCTTCCACCTGCCATATGTTGATAAATCATGCTATAATACATTGCTATTAAAATGCAGTTAAAGGGACGAAAGTCTAAGCTTGCTAAAATAGTAATGACAAAAAAACAAGCGAAAATTCAGGAGACATTTTAAAAAAAAAAAAAAACAAATGAAGAAGAATGAAGAGCAACAACATGTATTATGGCAATTTAACCACTGCATGATTTTTCTACTTTGATTTGGTTTTAAGATACATTTATATATTTATTATTGAAGTTTTGTTAAGAGATTTTTCAAATGTACTTGTTAAACCACTTCCTTTAAGTTCCTTTTTTTCTCATGAGTCTGATTAGCCACTATGGCTATGTATTTCCTAATCATATTAAGATAATTAAACAATTTTAAAAAATGTTGTAAAAAACCACATTTTTTAATATTTTCATTTAAATTACAGTTAGGGAGACAGAGAAAGATGATTGTTCTGTCTGGAGTACAGTTTGAACCCTCAAATGATGCATTTGTCTAAGTTATGGGTCAAATATTTCCCTAACATATTCTCAGGCAGTGGGTTTGCCTGGAGTAATTGGCCTCAGTTCAGCAAAAGACTTGTTAACATGAATAAGTCCAGAGGGTTTGAATGAAAGTTCTGCACACAGTCCATGACCTGTTGAAATGAGGCTTGTGTCAGAACAACGTTTTCTTGTCAGGAATTTGGAGGGGAAAAAAAGTCTTAGATGTAGAGCCCATTTCAAAGCCTGTTGAAGGTAACAGAATAACTTACTGATTTTGGTAGGGTTTGGACTAGGCTCTTGGTAATACAGTGGAGTTTAAGTCAGGAAGCTCTTCTCCCTCTATACTAAATGTGGCATTAAAAAAAAAAAAATCATTGTAACTAACTCCTTGCCTTGAAATCTAGAAAAAGCAGAACACAATCTTCTCTTGTTTCCTTTTAATGAAAACAGTGCTAATAGAAGGGGGTGACCTTTGAACTCAGATCTTGCATTTTCTGTGCTGATTTAGACTATGGTTCTTAACACATCTTCCAAGAAGGAAAACCAATCTTTTGTAGGACTGGAAAAATATAATTTATGTTCTGTTTCAAATTTCTAACCTCAGCTGAATTAACAAATTGGTTTATCCAATATGAATTAAGGTCAGAGAGGATGTGGCTAAATACACTCAAAATATTTTTATGTGAAGGGCCTGATCCTGCAAAGTGTTGTGCACACTCAGTTCCTGTTGACTTCAACAAAAGCTGACAGTGTTGCTCTCTTTTCAGGTTTGGTCTACAATGGTGTAGTGTTTATATCTAAAGCTAAAGTATTTTGAAAATAAGGCAAAAATATTTGTATAACCAAAAAAGAAATAGTTTTTTACCACCATTTTTTTATGAACAGTTAATTCAGCTAATTTTTAAATAAATTTTAAGGTAGCAATAAACAGAAAATGCTTATTGAGTCTCAGTGGGTTGCCCTGTTAATTTACAAGATCAAACTAAAATAGATAAATAAAATTTAACACTAAAAAGAGAATAATTTTGGTAAGTCTGAATTGCTAAAGTCCCTTTAACACTAAAAACAATGATTGCCTTAATTTTGTTAAAACAGATGCATGTCTAATTCCTTGATGCAATTCGTGTGCTTGAGAAACTCACCTTTGTTTTCTTTTGGTTTGGTTTTGGGTTTGCTTTGATTTTTTTTTCCTTTTTGGTTTTCTACCAAATCTTTTATTTTATGTCACTGCTTCTCCAAGTTTGAGCTTAAAAGCATGCCAAGGCACTTCCATTTGTAAGCCATCCTGAAGTTTTGAACTGAAGTCTACCTTTTGTGGATATTGATGCTTTGTTAAAAGACAATCACACGTGCACTAGGGTCTAAAAGAGACAGTATTTGACTGTTCAGACATTCTCAAAGCACTGGATGTTTTTAGGCTAGAAGGGTAGAGCCATGTTTTTACTAAAGTGAAAGGAAATTCAGTCTTCCCACTTTGTGTGAGGGAATGACATTGTGCAGTGTAACAGCTGAGACAATATAGCTTTGTTCCTTCGTTCCAAAGTACGTAGACTTTTTCAGCGACTAAGGTACCACTCAAATTAAAAAATTATAAGAATGAGTGATTTATGTAGCTGTTCACCAATCTGCTCATCCATCTGGTCATCCATCTAACAATTAAAGTAACATGGAAACCTTCTATCAGAAGACTTTATAAAGATGATGAGTGAAAGGGTAGCTTGCTATCAAAATGGAGCGAGATGGACTGATGGATGGAGGAGTAGATTCATCAGAGAGGCAGCATATAGAATAGCTGTCTTGCCCATATGAGTTCTTGGCTCGGGTGAGGTAAGATGAAACACTTTTTAATTGACATTTGGTACCACTGCTGTGTTATTCATAATAATGAAATAGTTCATTCTTGGATAACACAACATCTTTCTGAAGTGGCATCATTACTGGCTTTGGGGGGCTTTTAAATTTTATAAATTAGTTGAAAATATTTTTAAGAGGAGCCTAGATTTACAGTCTTGAATTGTATGAGTAATGAGAAAAATATTAAATGCTATTAACTTCACTGAGATTATGTATGTGAATATAAAAAGAAGTATTAGTCTTAGATTGTTCAACTTGAGTAGCCATAAATCCAGCAGATTTCCTTAGCAGAATACCTGGTGTCTGCTAAGGCACAGATGTTACCTGTTCTGCAACTGGATGTGCTAATAAAGACCCAGAAGCATCTCATCAAAAGGACTGATCCCAGAAGTTCTTAATTATTCAAAACTCTCTTACCTGTAAAGTCTCATTGATGTAAGTGACTGTACTTTTGAAGCAAGAACTATTAGTGTGAATTAGGATTTGCAAGATCAGGCCCTTTTCTGTAGTGCTACAGCAAAGTTACACTTTACTAAGATTTCTCTGCGATATTTTTAATTGTAATTCAGTTTTCCAAATGAAGAAGTCAATGAGAGAGCAAACAAAGAAGCAAGAGACTGAACTATTCAAAATATTTAAAAAACACCTCAGAAACTTAAAATATGGTCATAATTTATCTTTAGTATGACACTAAAATAGCAGTAGGAAGAGTTCTCTGGGGGGAAAAAAGAACTGTAATTCTGCAGTCCTTACAGACCTAGTAGAATTTACTAATGTAAACAGTTCCTGAATGAAATTCAGTGGCCAAATAAATTTTACTTAGAGGAAGAAAGGGCTTCCAATCAATATAATCAAAAAATGATTAGAAGAGACATACGGTGACAGAATTAAGTGTATATTCTCTCAACAGTTATTTTCTCATTCCATATGCATTTCCCTGTGTTCTTTATTCATGTGGATGTACACCATCTTAGAGTGAAGAATGAGGAATTCCAGTAGGTGACTGCAACAAGTGATTGTTCTTTTAGCAAACACAGTTCTAGTAGCAGTGCAGTAATGCTACATGTAGCATTAACTATATGGTGCAGTGCATGAATCCTGGTCTAGAAAACCACTGAACAAACAATGAAGATCCCACACACAATCCAAGTTCCATTTTTACTAGAATGGGGTCACCTCCTTGGTGTACACTTTCTTTCAAAATTTGAAGACGCAGGTGAAGGCCCAGAATTGGAAACATGGACTTTTTTTTAACCGTAATATACTAACTCCTCATTCTTAAAAATAAAGCAAGAGATATGACAGACATGTCTAAAGGTGTGCTATGAGCTTGAGTTAGAATAGATGACATCCTGAGGAGAGTCGTAATCCTCCAGTAAAAGCGAGAGAGCGCCTTTTCTCTCCTGGTTTGGGGAGCTCTCTTACCAGGAGCAGTAAAAATCCTCCATTCTCATTATCTTCCACCTTTTCCCTTTGGCAAAAGATGAACAAAGATTCAGTATTGAATCAAAGGAAGAAAGGAATGGAAATGGAAATAAACTTTTAACTGTCAGTACCTTCCATCCATTTTCAGGGATAACATCTCAAAATTAGTGAAATAACTCCCTGTTCTTTACTCATCTTACCTCTACTTTTTGGCATTCTTATCATGAGTGAGGTAGGAAGGAGGGAATAGAGGTGAGTGACATGTCTGGGTTCATAAGGGCAGGGACAATACGGACAGAAATATAGTGCTAAAGGGAGGGAACATATTAGAGGAAGGGAAAATGGTGTAGTAAGGATCTTACAGCATATCCATTAAAAAATCGAAAGCAAAACAGGACTGAAAAAGAAAAGCAAACTCTGAGGACATGGTATGGGAAAGGAGTTTGACCTTCTACAGTGTACAGTGCCATTTCCTCTAACTCAGAGAGGAGCTGGGCTAAGAGGGCTGAATATCTTGACAGATACTGTTATTGGATTCTATTTTCCTCATAGACAAGAATAAAGGCTCTGTTTACATTCTGAGGATGTGTGGCTTCAGTGCATGTTTGTTGATGTTTTAATAGACATATGTTGCCTCTGGCAAGTTTAAAACCTCCTGAGATGCAGAATATCGCATCAGGTGTTTCACACTTTCCAGGGGAAGGATACCCTCCATTTTTATTTTTCATTTCTTCATCAATGCAGTTACTCCACCCTGATCAAGTCCTAATTTTTCATTTACAAATCTGTGGCTGAGGAGCACAAGGGATGTGCAGCCCACCTCCACATGTCTGTATGTTACACCTGTCCATACACTGTTACTTAGTTAGCTAGGGCCCTCTTTGGGGACGAGAACTACTTTCAGATACATTTCTTCTCTTGTCCCCGTTCTCTTCCCCGTGGTCCATCCTGTCACCATAAGATGATGCTACACCGCATCACCACTTGACTTCAAGACCCGTCACGACGACCACCAAAATTGGTGAGCTCCCCCTCATATTTTGATCTACTCTAACCACTGGCTGTGAAGGAATGAGCAGTGGGTTATAGCTTGTGCTGTGCTACATGGTGGCATTCTGCACCTCTTATCAGCTTGGACTAGACAGAGAAAATGGTGAATGAGAACTGGAGAGTGGGAATGGGATGGGAACATGTCCTTTAAACTTCATAAAAATGGGAAAACACAATAAGATATTTGAATGATGATTGACTTGATGCTGCATTGATAATTCTTCTGAGCTCTGTCCAGTCTGATTGTCTGCTAATTCAACAAATTCCAGGTGTCATGCCCCTAATCTTCTGAGGAATAGTGAAGTTATAGACACTACCTTTGCACTTCATGAAGCAATTTATTTCTTAACATGGTCAACTAGTGCAGCCTGAGATATAAACAGTATTTATAGGGCAGTCCAGGCTGAATGTGATGTGAGCATCCTGCAAGCCTAGGTGAATTGGCAATTGTTACTAGATTTATTTTTAGTAAATACATTTTTTATTACATATGATATTAGACCACTTCTAACACTCAAGGTGTGACCTTGCTAAACCACATAACCTGCATCCATTTGAATTTCACCATCTGTAAGAGAGGAGTCGCACATTAGACACTCTGGGACTTAACTGTCTGGAGCGCTGTTATCTTCACTATTTCAAAAGCTTTGCTCTTTCAGAGACATCACAAATGTTTGCATTTGCTGTTTGTTGGGTTTCGATTTGTGAGCCTTCACAACACAAACTTTACAGGTGAAAATTCATGGCTGATACTGTCGTAAGATTCCTACTCAATCCTTCTACCACCGTATCAGTTTTTTCTGATGTTTTACTGTCTTCAAGCCACCCCTTAAAACAATTGCGTTAATAAAAGTATCTCTATGAGTTAATTCTATCCTTTAACAGTCAAAATAGAAGGTTTATTTATAGGCTAAAGCCTGACAGGTACTGTAATCTGAATTGATAGTAGAAAAATGGCCACATAATGAAGTCTTATTTGTAGTTTAAAATGGGTCCAAGTCTAAAAGAGTGGGTTCAAATTTTTGAGTCAAAGCTCCTCCAGACATCTGATGTGTGAGTGGATGTTGAAGTATGGGGTTTTAGGTGTTCTTGCTTTCAGGATTATCTTCCTTATTAATGATCTTTAGGCAGTACATTTCCATACTGTCTCTCTACAGTCATCATAATCACTACCAAAAATAAATCTACTTCTTTTTTGTATGTGATTTCTGACCAGGGTTCAGTGTAATATGCAAAGTGAAGGAAATGTCTGGCAATAATGTTATTCACCCCCCTTCACTAGGACGACAGTTAACGATCTTCAACACCCAGGCGCAAATAGCCATAGGAGGGAAGGACAGAGGGCGTCTCTTTCAAGGCCAGCTCTCCGGTCTCTATTACAATGGCTTGAAAGTGCTGAACATGGCAGCGGAGAACAACCCCAACATTAAAATCAATGGAAGTGTCCGACTCGTTGGGGAAGTCCCATCCATCTTGGGAACAACACCCACAACCTCTGTGCCACCGGAAATGTCTACTACAGTCATGGAAACCACAACTACGATGGCGACCACTACGACCCGAAAAAATCGTTCGCCGCCCAGCATCCAGGTGAGTCAATTAGTCTTCTGCATTTCCTTGGGTTCTTAGTTAGTCTTGCTGCTCACTTGTAAGTTCATGGAAGTCATATTCTCTGAATCAGGTTCCACGTAACTCTTTATTTTAACAATGTTGTGTAGGGTAAATCACAAAAAAATGTTGTCCTCCTGTGTTGGTGAACAAACAGCTGGATGAATTGTTATGGCACATGTATGGGGTAATGGGGACATATTTTGCTCTTATTCTAGTGCAACCCCATTTATGTAACTAGGATTGCCCCACTGTGAACAAGAACATGCTTTTAACTGTTTCCAGAGTTCCCTATGTGGGGAAATGTATTCTATTCCTAAGAGAGTTACAAAGCTTAGTGGGGGTGGGTGTATGGTTATTTATTAATACAACAATATGTACTGCTGCAATAGTGACGTTCATAATGAGGAGAAAAGTGATGGAGAATTACTTCCAGTTAGAGTCATTTTTCATTTCCCCTTTATAGCCTTCCTGCAGAGAATTTTGAAGGAACGCTATCAAGATAAGTTTCTTACAAAATGTAGATGTTCCAACCTATTTCATAAAAATCATTCCTACAAAAAGTTAATTTCAGAGGTTCTGACTTAATTATGTTAATGTAGTTATTTCAATCCTAAATGTGTTGGGTTTGGAACCACTTTCGTGGCAGCCAAAATATGGTACTGACTAGAAATAAACACCTTCAATTGGCTCTCCTTGTCTGTGCAAAGAAAAGAATCCTGTAAATGACCAATCTGAGCTGTGGATGAGATTCTGAAAATTATTTATTTCAGGAATGTACTATCGTGTTATCAACTAGAATGAAACATTTGTTTTGAAATCATTAAAGAGATAGATGGAGCTACTGAAGAGACTCTAACAAAGGGCCTCAAAAATGGTTAAGAGACTGGAGCATTTCTTCTGTGAGAAAAGGCTGAGAGAGCTGAGACTGTTCAGCCTGGAAAAGCGAAGACTCATGGGAGATCTTATCAGTGTGTACAAATACCTGAAGGAAGAGTATAAAGACAACAGTGGTGCCCAGTGACAAGACCAAAGGCAATGGGCACAACCAAAACACAGGACTTTCCCTCTAAATGTCAGGAAACGTTTTTAATGTGAGGATGACTGACCATTGGCACAGGTTGCCCAGAGTGGTTGTGGAGTGTTCATATTGGTAAATATTCAAAACTCACATGCACATGGTCCTGGACAACTGGCTCTGGGCGACCCTACTTGAGTAGGGGTTTGGACTAGATGACCTCCAGAGGTTCTTTCCAAGCACAACTATTCTGTGACTCTGACTGCCGTAGAATTTACAACTATTAGAGTAATTAATTCCTAGCCAAGGTTTGACAGTGCCCCCTTTGGTACTCTGTAAATCCAGATGGAAGCAGGACTGGAATTAATTGAGTTAGTAGCCTCAAAAACCCGATAGATGATTTATAAAGTCTCAGCCAAATGAGGGGAAATTATCCTGGGTTTGGTCACTATTTGTCACAAACTTTGAAAGAATTACAGTTCTTTCTCTGCGGTGATTAGTTCTAATTTTAGAAAAAATGTTTGTATGGTTACATCTCCAGAAGTATAAAGTCTGTGGTTCTTATCCTTCCCTCTATAATTTCTAAAGGTAGCAGAACTGTGTTTAGCTATAGCAGTGTAACAGAGAGAGCACTGGACCTTTTTGGGCTGGGTCAAGCTGGAAATAACACTGGCTTACTTAAAGAGGAACTCTTTCAGAAAGCTTCCTGCCTAGCCTACATGGCAGCTAACTCAGCCTGCAGAGACCATCGTGTACTGAAAGAGCATCAAGAAGATTTAATAAAGTGTCAAAGTGCTTCTAAAAACATGGTTAGAGCAGCGATTTCCTGGATACACATGCACCACAACAAATGGCCTCATCTCAGCTGATATTAAAGCAATAACTCTTTGACACTTCATGCTACCCGCTGAAAGAGAAATAAAGGTCAATATGTACCTCTATTACAACTTTCTGCATTTCAATATTGGGCCATTTTATTGCTGTCACAGCACAGATGGCTCGCCTTTTTTCCTTACTTTTGGTGGAATTTGATTCTGTCAGCTTAAGTTGCATTATTTGTGTGGTGAAAGTGAGAAGAAATTGTCTTTTTATGTTTGGGCAGTATCTCCAGTCGTGGTTTTTCAGGTACCTAATGCTTATTTTATCTTGCTTGTGTTTGACATCACCATCATCACGCCTGCTTACAATTTTAGATCTAAGTGGTGGAAAAATCTAATAGAACAAGTTTGTTCGTTGGGGAACATAAAATATAGCTACCTAAGGCTATGAACAGTACAAATACAGTTAGTTATTACCTTGTTCCAGCTTTCTCTTCTCTTTTCTGTTCAGAAATGAACAATTTTTCTTTGCTTTCAAGGTTGTTAGAAGTTTAGCCTCTTCTCTCCTGATTCTGATCAGCATGATTCAAGCATTTTTCGCCCATTCTTTATATTTGATCATAAGAATCTTTCTGCTTCCCAGTACCATACACAAGTCAACAGCAGGTTGTTCTTCCAATCCTATGGAACTCTCCTGTCTCCATGATGCATGTCAGAAAGTTGTCAGAGGTTAGGCTGATGATGGTCTAAGGCAGCTGTTTATCAAGTCAATCCATGTTGTCACTTTTTTTGATTTCATTATCCATGTTTCTGTACCCATGTGTGATATCTTGTTTTGTACTAAGATTACAGACTCCTTGGGTTCAAAATGTACTTTTTATTCTGCGCATGTAAATTACTTGGCACAGAATGGTTCTGACCCATTATGGAAATATCAAACATGATACATGTAAAAAATGCAACATAGCAAGAATCAGGGTAAAGAATTATTATTCTTACTCTATTAGGAGTATCTGTGCTATTTGTATTACTCATTTTCATATGTAAGTAACTAAAACTTCTCCTTTTTGAAACACATATAAAGCTTGTACAGCATAGCAAGTCTGTAATCCCAAAGTGATACAAAATCCAGGGGAATTTCAGTAGGATTTTGATTTATACAAGACCTGTTAAGGAAGTACAGAAGAGCGTGATAAGTGCAAAGATATCTTCTGTTTGTAGAATACACTAAGGTACCTCCTGCAGTTAGGTAGTCTGAGTACTGACAGAAGTATTTTAGAGCACAGTTAGACTAAAACAGTTGGGAAAATGAAGGGCTTTAAAAATACACAGTATTAGTTCAGACAAATGACATACTCCAGTATGTGAAGATCCCAAGCATGGTACATAGTCTTGGACAAACAACCAAGACAAAGGGAATTGAGAGAATATTGCAGGAAATACCCAGTGGCAATGAAATTAGCATTTGAAATGTCTCTAATGTCTTTTTTTTTTTTTTTTTTTTTTAATTTTTACTAACATTTCTGCAAGGCAGCGAAACTCAGATCAGTGGAGGACAGGCAGGATTTGAGTGAGAAACAGTTGAGATGTATGGCTATGCTCTACTGCTGGGAAAATTTTTGTGATTCAGAGACGCCTCGAAGGAAGATAACAAGAGCTGACCTTTTCTGTTAAATGAAAATAAGGAAGAAAAAGGTGTTTCAATTTGTGTTTGTTTCAGTGAGTCGCAAGTGGTGCTTGTGCTCTGCTGTTCCTGAGTGGAAGCACTGACTTGACTTTCTCACACATGGTTTTGTTCTGGATTTAAGTACAGTCTGTTCAGAAGTGACGTGTTGTACTAATTCTTGCTGCCTGTCTCAGGGCCCTGTCACACCAGACTCTTCTGTGATAATAATATCCTCTAAGGGACTTCTGCTTTGCCATGTTACCCCACAAAGACCTCAAAGACAAGCTGTTAACTTTTAAGTGTGGTACAGTAGCATGCCGTGCAAGCTGCTATTAGATAAGAGTCACTGTACTGAGCCACATCACATTCTTGCAAGACTGTCATATTTCTCACAGTGTTACTTCATTAGTTAAAGGTCTTGGAATCCCACATGTCCCTATTTCCTGATTTAGAACACAGCTTCAATTATTAATGAAGTACTACAGGGATTTTTTGTTTGGGAGACCTCTGTGAAAACAGGTTAAAGTGACACTCATTCTCTTGGCTTCTGCTTCCATGTCACTTGCTTATGTGGTCAGAATTCTTTTTTTGTGAGTTGCTGTTCAAAGCTTTTTTGGAGGCTCTCCATATGCTTTTATGTGGCACGTTCTGTCTGGTTCACAGCTGGGTCATTCAGTTTTCAAACAATTTGTGCAAAGATATCTTTAAAGTTAATTAGTAAGTAAAGCTAGTCTAGAAAGCATGTATCATGATACACATCTTCCATTCAAAACACATCCAGTTCAGCAAATCCAAGAAGAGAACCACTCCAGGTAATCTTCCATGTAATCTTCTCAGGCCCACTGACCTGGGGCATGCCCCTAATATGCTGGTCTATGGCATGGGTCGCTGGGACCCAAGATAAAACACTTTTCTGTGAAAAAGAGAATCCTTCTGGGAGGACAGATGGACTTCTGGTTATGCTCTCCATGAGGAACCAGAAACTATGTGCCCTGTTACATAGCCAGGGCATGCCTCAACCTCTTGAGATGAGGATAATGACACCAAACTGTTCAAACTGTACTTTGGAGTGACAAGCATAAATTACTTGTGGATGTTTTCAGCCATAGAATGACAGTGTATGATATATTATATGCAGAACGTTCTCCCTATGGAATAGAAGAGGAGATCTGCCCATTGTCCATATGGAGAGTCCAGCCCATTGACGTGGCTTAGAAAAGGTTCTCAACCTTTATTTTTAACCATTAGGCTTTTCAGCCTTCTAACTATGTTTTCTATTGAAGGTCCAATAATCTTGATTAATGTCTTTCCATAACATGCAGCTCCAGGCTAAATCCTTCCTTACAGTGTATATCACAAAGGAAAATAGCACAGAAGATTTGTCAGTCTAATTAGACTTTCACTGTCAGTAAGACAAATAAAATTGTCTCACCCTTGGTCTTACCTAGGTACTTTCTTTTACAGTCATAGATAATAATTTGGTGGAGAAAGAAATTGGCCTTTAATTTGGTTTTTGCTTCTTATAAGTCACTAGTGACATTTTCATCCCAAGACTGCAAAGCTCTAATGAAAAAAGAGCTTTTGATGAGTCTGCTTTAACGACTGACTTCACTGGCCCATTGGTACAACTGAGAATTACACAGTCTGGCTCTCATCCCTCCTTTTCTGCTTGTTCCTCCACTATTTTTTCTTAAAGAGACCAAAGCCCCCAGACTTTAACCATGCTTCAGAGTGGAATCCTTTCTCCTATACTACAGTCCTGCATTGCTGTAGTGACATTCATAAAATGGCATTTACTTATTCACAGTCACATCTCTTCTGTGGTGATTAAATGGTAACGTGCTTTGAGCAGAGAAAGAAAGCAAAGTCTGGAAGCAAGAATCCAAATGGGGGATTGAAAATTTACATGCAGACTATTGTTCATGTAGGTTACAGAGTTACTAATTCAAAAATACCAAATGACCTCTAAATACTTCACAAATATGTCGTACAGAAATAGATTTAGTGCACACTGAAATACAGAATCTTTGGTGTGTAATATAGTAGCTATCTAACCAGAAACACTTATATGATATGATAGTGTTCTGTATGTGAGCATTAGATGTGCGAGTGGTGTGGTGTGTTTAAATTATATTTATTGATGTAGTGTTCAGGATACTCAGATTACCTATAAAGCTCATATAATCTAAATTATGACCCTGTATTTTCATTATTTCACCCACTTTTGCAGAAGACAGTTGTGCTGCACTTCTGAAAGTGCCATAGTGAGCCAGTTTTCTGGAAGTGCCATAGTGAGCCACAAGTTCCGTACCCATCCAAAAGAAGAGTGGGATTTTACTGTAATATTATTTTTCCAGCCTACGCTCCCAAGTGCTGACAAGTACTGATGATGCAAATAAACTCAGCCTTATATTTCTGCTAAGCACAATTACGGTAATAAAGAATATTGTGTTTGTAAAACAGCTCATGCATGTGCTGGTGTATGCTCGGTGTATGCTGTCATTTGTTGACGTTATCACCAGTGGTATTTGAACATTTAACTTAGTAACCATTGTCAGCTCCAAATGAATGTGTCTCTCTCCTGACTCCACGGAAGGGATTTGATTGAATGTGGCAAACTTG